TTTCTTTCCTTTTTTTTTTTTTTTTTTTTTTGAGTTAGGGTTTCACTATTTAATTCTGACTCCTTGAACCCTAACCCTAACCCTAAGCAAAAAAGTTCCATAGAAAGTTTTATAATTTTGAGGCATCCTTGATTGTTAGTGGCAGACTAAACGCTGTGATATAGATGAGGGGGACAGCAGAGGCTGAGCTAAGCCCTTGCCGGGCATCCCGAACCCCCGTGCCCCAGTGGTCCCCTGCCTCTGTCCACAGGTGGAAGTTGAGGAGCTGCAGGGGCACGAGAGACAGCAGTTGCAGGAACACCTGGCCCTGCTGCTGGGCACCCTACTGGACGCCCAGACCCGCCCGGGGGGTCAGGGCCCCGCAGAGTCTGGACTGTCGCAGCGCTGCCAGGCTCTGGAGCGGAAGACAGCCACGTTCGAGAACATCGTCTGCGTCCTGAACCGCGAGGTGGAGAGGGTAGCCGTGACTGCAGAGGCCTGTAGCCGGCAGCACCGGCTAGACCAGGACAAAATCGAGGCCCTGAGCAACAAGGTTGGTTCCCGCAGACTGCCGGCCACGTTGCCCGGGAATGTGCTGCCTTGGGCTTTGGCTCCTGCGTGTCTGAGCTCTGGGGTGGGGGGTGCCATTGCGGTCATGGGCCTGCAAGGGCGTCAGCAGGGTGTGTGCCCTGTGCTTTGCGGGCAGGTGTGGCTGTCCTCGGACTGGGTGGGGTGCAGGTGACTGTCACTGCCCCTCCCATAAGCCGCTCATGCTGCCTGCAGGTGCAGCAGCTGGAGAGGAGCATTGGCCTAAAGGACCTGGCCATGGCCGACCTGGAGCAGAAGGTCCTGGAGTTGGAGGCAGCCACCTATGACGGGGTCTTTGTCTGGAAGATCTCGGACTTCAGTAGGAAGCGCCAGGAGGCCGTGGCTGGCCGCACACCGGCCATCTTCTCCCCAGGTGCTGTGTGATTCTCAGCGCCTTGCTGGCCCTGCAGCCTCACAGCCCTTGGCCTGTGTTCCTGGTGCCTGGCACCGGGAGGGTGTGGCTGCCATGTGTTTGGGCAGAACCTGTCTGGCTTCTCAGGCGGGTGTCTCCCTTCACTCCACCATCGGGTTTCTAGAGGAGGTGCCAGGGCTCTCCTCAGCCTGCTCCTGTGGGGGCTTCCCAGCATGCCACCTGGTGCCTTCTGGGGTCCAGCAGAGCCCCTCGTCCTAGAGGCCGCAGTTTGCCTGAGTGCACTGCACCTTGTGTTTGCTACTGGCAGGTACTGCCAAAGCAGCAGGTTACATGGTCAAGCAGAGACGTGGTGGCTCCTCCTGGCTCAGGTCACGTTGGCACTACAGGCCTTGCCTGGTGCCACTGTCATCCTCCACGTGACACATCCTGATGGTGTGTGCTTCTGCAGGGGCCAGATACGAAGAGTCACACTCTGTCATTCAAGCTTGTACTGAGAGAACTCTGGGGCCTCCTGTGGGTACGGTGCCACCCAGGATTAGGGCTGGTACCCTTCCCTCAGCACCTTTCCAATCTGCAGGGCTGCTGCGTCGGCTTGTGCTGCGCCTTCTTCAGGCAGTGCCAGTGATTGGGCCCAGTAGCAGGCAGAGGTTGCAGAACTTGGGAACAGATTGAGTGCGCCAGCTGGAACCTGGCCGGACACCCAGGCCCTGCACCTGAGGGCCAGAGGCGGACAGCCCCTCCTGGGGTGCTGGTGCCTCTCAGACTGATAGCCAGTTTCCTGAGTCCCGAGCTCTACCTTAGCAGAGCTGGTTTTAGTGTAGCTTGGGAGGGGCCGGTAACAGTGGCGCCCATGGCTTTTGGGGCTGATGCAGTATACTGTGGGGTGCAGGCAGAGCACAGCCAAGCTCTTCATGAGGAGAGCAAAAGCAGAAGGGTTCAGAGCCCCTTCCCCCAGCACCTCCAGGGGCCATGGCTCATTAAGCCTCTGCACCCTGCAGCAGGCCAGGGCGGTGGGCATCATTCCAGACCCAAGAGCAGATACACAGAAGAATCTGGTAGGGGATCTGGCCACCTGCTGGTGAATGCTGGACATGACAGGCCCGTCTGGTGGCCTGGATGTCTGTAGGAAAGTTCAGTCCAAGTCCAGAGACCTCAGGACCCCAGAGCCACTAGCTGAAGTCCTGGAGTGCAAAGCCACAGAGTGGAGCTCCGGTGGCCACAGCTGGGGAAGAACGCATCTCAGCTCCAGGGCAAGGAGGCTGGCGTGCATTTCTTCCGCTTTTGTTCTCTGAATCTCAGCTGCTTAGAGCTGCCCACGTCCAGGTGGATAGCGCACGTCCAGGCCCTTGGGCACACCCAGTGCCCAGCCTGGCAGCTCTAGGTGGCCCTCCCTGGGCGAGCTGCTGCTGAGGTCACCCTCACTACCCTCCCCACAGGGCATCGAGTGGCATGCTGCCTCTGCTCCTCATTGCCCGCTGGGCATGAGGGTCCTTGAGTAGGTGCCGCGCGCACCCTCCTGCGCTGCCCTCACAGCCCTCTCTTGCCTCCAGCTTTCTACACAAGCAGGTACGGCTACAAGATGTGTCTTCGAGTCTATCTGAACGGTGATGGCACCGGGCGGGGGACGCACCTGTCTCTCTTCTTCGTGGTGATGAAAGGCCCTAATGATGCTCTGCTGCGTTGGCCCTTCAACCAGAAGGTGTAGTGCTGTCCTGGGGCAGGTGGGGCCCTGGCGCTCTGGGGGTGTGTGGTGAGGTGGCCCAGGACGGGGTGGATTGCCCAGGGGTCTGGTGTGCAGCGCGGCTTCTGAGTGCTGGTTGTGGTACTAACCCCTGGCTCCAGGACCAGGCTTGAAAGTGTGGAGCCCTCTGCCTGTGGTGACTGGGTTGGAAACCAGGGTCCACGCTGACTGAAGAGTTGAGAGACAGACTGAGAGCCGAATGGGACAGACAGCCGCTCTTCTTCACAGGGGGCCAGCCCTGCCTACCCCTGTAGCCCAGGGAGGCTGTGGAGGTCCCAGACTGTTAGGCTTGGGTGCTCCTCGAGAGTGGCCCTTGTGCCGTGCTGGGGGCGCTGCTTGCTGACCTGTGGTGGCGCTGGGTCAGGTGCGATGCCATAGAAGCCACGCAGTAGCATGGGTGCAGTGGCTGAGCTTGGCCCGAGCCCTGCTGTCAGTGTCGGAGGCATGGGCACATGCGTTTGCTGGGGCCAGGGCGCGGGAGGGGTCTGTGCACTTGCCTCACAGAGTTTGGTCCCCTGGCCCCTCCTAGGTGACGCTGATGCTGCTCGACCAGAACAACAGGGAGCACGTGATCGATGCCTTCAGGCCGGATGTGACTTCCTCATCCTTCCAGAGGCCGGTCAGCGACATGAACATTGCCAGTGGCTGCCCCCTCTTCTGCCCTGTGTCCAAGATGGAGGCCAAGAATTCCTATGTGCGGGATGATGCCATCTTCATCAAGGCCATCGTGGACCTGACGGGGCTCTAACAGCACCTGCCGGGCACAGTGCCAGGGGCCTGCACCCAGGTGGGCGGGAAGGAGCCGTTGCCCTCCCAGCGCCAGAGACTTGAGGAGCCCGTCTGGCCAGCCCCTCGCCTTTATGGAAGGGCCCCGCATCTCTGTGGGCACTTGGGAGCTACGTTGGCCCAGACTACCAGCCTGCTTCTGTGGTGGGAGTGTCCATGGCCACTGGGAACAGGGCTGCTGCCCACAGAGGGGCCCTGGAGTGTGGGGCTGAGACACGCACGCACCACGCAGGAGCGTGGCCTGTGGGGCCCATAGGGCTGTGGAGCGTCCGTATTAAACCATCGAGAGCCCAGGGTGAGTGGCGTCCGTCTGGTAGCAGCCTGGGTGGTGGGGGCCCTCGGCTCTTACCTTTTTCTCTTTTCCTCCCGCCGACTTCCTATCCCTGTGTGCAGCAAGCTCCTGGGACTTAGGCCAGGGTGAGCACAGGAGGTGCAGCTCAGCAGCCCCCGGCCAGGGCTGGGGTGCCGCCACCAGTAGGCCGGGCAGCTTCCTCACGCCTGTACCACGGCCTTGGCAGATCATCCAGTGGTGCTGAAGCCCAGGGGAGGTGGGCAGGCCGGTGCACAGGCACTTGCCACCTGCTCTCGCGGGCCTGAAGCTCCTCCTCACCTGGTGCCTGTGCTTCTGTGTCCAGGAACAGTGTTGAAAACATGCAGCTGGTACCTTGAGTCACGAGCTGCTGATAGGCTGGCCAGTGCCATCCACCACCATGTCCCACCAGACGCAGCCCCCATCCTCCTCAGACCTGTGGCTCCCAGTTCTTGGTGGTGCACACTTCCGTGGACCTGGAAGCAGAGGTGGAGCCCTGGGCCTGTAGCACGTGTGGCCTGCTCTGAAGGGAGCTAGGCCTGGTGCCACCCACAGCCCGACCTTGTCCGCGTGGCACTCTGCCTGCTGCCTGATCCTCGTATCCTGCCTTCCCTAGGGATGCAGCCACCCCAGCCAGGGCCAAGGGCGCCTTGGGGTCTTTCCCATGGAATTGTACTGTGAGCCTGGCCATTTCCCCTCTGGAGTGCAGGCCTGG